CAGGCTGGCCAGAAGCCAGGCCTCCTAATCCCACACACTTTCTCCATTCTCTTTGTGGCACAGAATATTACAAAAGTTTTCCTATTTTTCCTGCCTTATTAGTAAAAATGCCACTTGTTCAAGCCAGGTTTTGTTCTTGGTCAGATCATCTTGTGCTACAGGATAGCACACACACTCACCACAGGGACTTTCCTGTGGGAACAGTGCAGAGTAAACCCTGGCTCATTTCTCCCTGGGTGTGGCCTGCTTCTGCTTATTCTGTACATGAGCTCTGTGCCCTATCACCTCTGTGCCCTATCGCCACTATGATTTCATCCCAGAAACAAAAGCATGCAGCAGAACATTAAGAAATGGGAGAAAGTGGGCGCTTGGGTGGCTCAGTTGGTTGAGCGACTGCCTTCTGCTCAGGTCATGATCCTGGAGTCCCTGGATCGAGTCCCGCATCGGGCTCCCTGCTTGGCAGGGGGTCTGCTTCTCCCTCTGACCCTCCCCCCTCTCATGTGCTCTCTCTCTCATTCTCTCTGTCAAATAAATAAATAAATCTTAAAAAAAAAAAAAAAAGAAATGGGAGAAAGTGTCCCAGAGCACCCTGGCCCAGCCCACTTCTCTCCCTGAGACCCAGAGAATGTGACATGGTCCTGCTTCTCCTCCCAGCCCTCTGGCTGTGTTGTCCCTTGCTCCTTCTCATCCTCTCCCTCGGCAGCTCTGAATTGGGGGTGATTCTGCCCCATAGAAGACACTTGGTGATGTCTGGGGATAGTTTGGGGTATCATAGCTTGTGGGGATGCTCCTGACATCTAGTGGGTGGAGACCAGAGACACTGCTCAGCACCCTACAGTGCCCAGGATGCCCCACATCAGAGGGGGGATCCAGCCACAGATGAGACACCCTGACTTAGCATGAGAGATTCTATCTACCTACCTACCTACCTACCTACCTATCTAACCCTCCATTTATCTATCCATCTATCCATCTATATCTATCTGTTAACCATCCATCCATCCATCATCTATATATCCATCTGTCTATCCATATCTACCTGTTATCTATCTATCTATCTATCTATCTATCTATCTATCTATCTATCTATCTATCATCTACCTACCTACCTATCTATCCCTCCATTTATCTATCCATCTATCCATCTATATCTGTCTGTTAACCATCCATCCATCCATCATCTATATATCCATCTGTCTATCCATATCTACCTGTTATCTATCTATCTATCTATCTATCTATCTATCTATCTATCTATCTATCATCTATCTACCTACCTATTACTTCATTTTTCTATCCATCTGTCCAACCATATCTACCTATTATCTATCTATCTATCTATCTATTTATCTATCATCTATCTACCTACCTACCTATCTATCCCTCCATTTATCTATCCATCTATCCATCTATATCTGTCTGTTAACCATCCATCCATCCATCTATTCATCCACCCAGCCATCATCTGTACATCCATCTGTCTATCCATATCTACCTGTTTATCTATCTATCTATCTATCTATCTATCTATCTATCTATCTATCTATCTATCTACCTACCTACCTACCTACCTATCTATCCCTCCATTTATCTATCCATCTATCCATCTATATCTGTCTGTTAACCATCCATCCATCCATCATCTATATACCCATCTGTCTATCCATATCTACCTGTTATCTATCTATCTATCTATCTATCTATCATCTATCTACCTACCTATTCCTTCATTTTTCTATCCATCTGTTCAACCATATCTACCTATTATCTATCTATCTATCTATCTATCTATCTATCTATCTATCTATCATCTATCTACCTACCTACCTATCTATCCCTCCATTTATCTATCCATCTATCCATCTATATCTGTCTGTTAACCATCCATCCATCCATTCATCCATCCATCCATCCATCATCTATACATCCGTCTATCCGTATCTACCTGTTATCTATCTATCATCTATCTATCTATCTATCTATCTATCTATCTACTATCTTTCTATCTATCTACCTACCTACCTACCTACCTACCTACCTACCTATCCCTCCATTTATGTATCCATCTGTCCATCTATATGTGTCTGTTAACCATCCATCCATCCATCCATCCATCATCTATATATCCATCTGTCTATCCATATCTACTTGTTATCTATCTACCTACCTACCTATCTATCTATCTATCTATCTATCTATCTATCTATCTATCTATCTATCTATATCATCTATCTACCTATCTATTCCTTCATTTTTCTATCCATCTGTCCATCCATTGCTATCTGTTATCCATCCATCTATCCATTATCTATATATCCATCTGTCTAACCATATCTACCTATTATCTATCTATCTATCTATCTATCTATCTATCTATCTATCTATCTATCTATCTATCCATCGATCTATCATCTATCACGGTGGTTTGTGACCAGCCATGACTTTGCCCCTCCCCCCAGGGGATATTTCTGGACATTCCAAGTTCGGGGGGAGGAAATGGTACTGGCATCTGGCAGGTGCAGACCAGGGATGCCACCCAATGCCATATAGCGCACAACAGAATAACCCAGCCCAAATGCCACCCGTGCCATATCAAAGAGACCGTGCCCTCGTCCTGTGTATCTGACACTTGATTCTGTCCCAAGACACACCCCCTTGCCCCTGTCTTCCCACAGCCCCTCTCCCTGTCAGGGGTCCCCCCGTAAACAATATTGAGGTTACCCAGGGTCCCTGCCATCAGCCCAGCACCCGTTCCTGAGCCTCTCTGGGGGTCCGGCCAGCACCAGCGGCTGCACAAAAAGCACCACCTTCAACAGACAGCACGGTCCTGCGTTGGTCCATGCCTCCCTGCCTCCCAGCCATTGGGAATCACAGGGGATGCTCTCCCCTCTGGTGCAGCCCCTGTCATCTGCTAGCAAACCACAGATTCCACCTGCGTGCGTGGTGTTGTCTCCTCAGGCCCACCCGGCTCTCATCCCGGCACTCAGACCAGGACCCCCCAACCCGATCTCTTTGTAAAGCTCAGCTCCACAATTCTCAGCAGTGCCGGAAGCTTCCGTGGCTTTTCTGGGCTGGGTGCTAACATGTCACTCTGCTCCTGGGCTCGTCCCCAGCCACACCCAGAACACACAGAGCCCATCCCTGCCCCTGCTCCCATTCACAGCATCCTTGGTGCCACATTGATCTGGCGAGCCCCACCTCTGCCAGGAAGCCCTCCCGGGTTTCTTCCCACCCCAAATCCTTGCAACCTGCAACCCAGGTCTGCAGCTCAATATTTTGAATTCTTCTCCCCCTCCCGGAAACACTCAGCACTGAGCCCGGCACATGATGACTTTTTCAGTGCCTGGATCAATGGGATGGCAGGCCAGCGGTCGGGCAGTGGGGTAAGCTGAAGGGCTCTGGAGGCAGAAAGCCTGGGTCCCGTGTGCTTGGGCAACTTCCTTCGCCTCTTCCAGCCTCAGTTTCCCCATGTGGAGCAGAGGAATGATGGGGATGCAGTCCTCCCCCACCCCGGAGATCCCGGCTTGGCTCAGAAGCACACAGTTGCGGGATCCGTTCATTGCTCCAGAGAGAAGGCACACCCCGCGTCCGTCCGTGTGGCTGACACACACGGCTGGGGGGAGCCCAGCGCTGTCCCCGGGGATGTCCCCGTAGCTACTCCCTGAGCTTGGTCACAGGGCCACGATTCCCTATGGTGTTGCTGGCCCCGGGGAGAAGATGAGAGGGGCCGTGACAGATGCGGGTCACCTCCCGGAGGCCCCGTCCTCAGTCGGGGAGGCAGAACGAGGTGGCAGGTGCATGTTGGGTCCCCGTATCCTGCCCGCCTACCCCATTGCCTCCAGGGACATGAAGGGGGATGTGAAAGGGAGGGTCCCAGCTGCGGTGCCTTGCACAGCAGTGGTGACAGCAAGGAGGAGATGCAGACTGAGGGGCTGGACCTGGAGCAACACCCCAGGATGTGGGTTGGCGGAAGGGCTCGTCTGCCCGGTCACGGGGCATCTCCAGGAGGGCGGTGGTCAGCTTTTACCCACTGTGCGCTGTGTTGCCATGTCCAGGACAGGGGGACAGGGTGTGCTTGGGTCGGGGGTCCCAGCTGAGCCTTGCACAGGATCCAGCTGCCCTGCCTGCCTCCCTGGGTGTGGCTAAGCGGGGATATTTCCCACGGCAAGCAGACCCACCTACGCTTCTCCAAGCACCATCTGGAGGCTCACATCTGTCCTCCTGATTCCTCCGGGGACCTGGGTCCCATCTGCCGCCTGATCTGATTTGGGGGCCGCCTTCCCAGGGACACACCCCCCTCCCTGCACCGACGTTGGCATTGGCCGTGCCCCGACGCCCTGCCTTTCCTCCAGCATGGAAACATCCGAGAACGTCCGGCCCCGCGGGCACGATCCCCACCACGGCCATGGGCTTCTTCCTGGGGCGATGCCCTTTCTCAGCACCCGGCGTGAGAGCCCCGCCCCTGACCGTCCGCATGGCATAAACAGGACAAGGACCCCGAGAAACGGTCTTCGGTTTGGGCGCAGAAGCACGTGGCCTGGGGTTCCGCCTCCTTGTGACCCAGTGTGACTGACCCCTAGCGAAGACCAACCGGCGCTCCAGCTGCGAGCCCCCTTCTCCCCAGACGCTGCTGGGGGGCGTCTTGGCACAGACTCAAATGCCCCGTGGTTTTACAGGGTCCGGCACCCTGGGCTCGTCTGCGGGGGTCTCAGGGCCTCCCCGCCCCCCCCGTTCGAGGCCCCCTGCATTGACTGTCAATGTGGCGGCCCCAGCTGCCCGCCCAATGCAGGGCCCCGCTCGGCCGGCCCAGGTGCCTTGGGCCGGATGAGTGTTCGAGGGAGGGTTTCCCGGCTAGGCGGCTCTGCACACTCTCTGGGGGTTTGCTTGGCTGGGTGGGCACCACCCCCTTTCACCCACGTCTGCACCGCTGAGACCCTGTCCCCGCCGGACCTCCGGGATTCCCGACAATGCAGGGACGCAGCGCAGGGCAGAGGGCTCACCTGAAGTCTCAGACGGCCGCCCACTGCGGTGCCTCAGCGTCTGGTGTCGGGAAGTCCGCAGTCCTCATTTTGCAAGCCGGCCGGGCGGACAGAGGTGCCCTGAATGATCCGTGGCTGTCCCGTTCTGCTCCGGCAGGTCTCGCGGGGGCATGGCCTGGCCGTTGCAAAATGCAAATTCTCCAGGGTCCACCTCCGAGCGGCAGCCACGGTTGGGAGGCAGGGTCGGTAGAGAGGAAACCCGTGTTGAAATTTCCTGTGTAAGTAACTGTCTGCTCGCTGCTGGCTTTGCCGAGGGCCGAGCCCGTGGGGCCCCCCACCTCCTATGAGGCTCACCCGCCGCCCTGCCCGGGGCGGGGTGCCCGCCTCACAGCCTCGACCTCACAGCTGCTTTCATAAGGCCGCGGGGAGACCCTGCCCACCCGGCGAGTGTCGCCTGCCGGACGCAATCCCGTGCACGTGGGCGGGGATGAAGGACAATCCCCCTAACTTAGAGGCAGAGAAGCAATCATGCCCTTCCACCCAGACAGAGCTAATTCCTGTTTTTCTTTTATTAAAAAAAAAAGTGAAAAAAACTGCTAGCAGAACATATTTCCTTTTGCATTCTTAAAGCTGTGTGCACTGCGACATCTTTTGGTGTGTGGTCAGAACGGCCCGGCCGTGGGGCAGCGACAGCCACGCCCGCCTTCGGGAGTTTCCTGGCTCACTCCCTGCACGTCCCACGGGGGGGCCGGTCGGCATCCACAGCGGCGGGGAGCGGCGGTGGGCTGGAGGGCAGAGGCAGACGTTTCCACAATGCAACGGGGCGAATTCACCACATTGCGTGCGGCGGGAGAGATGCGGAAGCTGCCGGGAAGATATACCAGGGAATCGAGCTCTGAGCTCCTGCACCTGTGTCCTGTGGACGTTGAGTCACTTCTGGGGACCTGGTGATGGTGTCACAGGGCCGCTCTTCCACGGGGAGGTGCAGGGTTATCCATCGATCTGCGTTCCATAGACTTTCCATTTATCTGAACGTATCTGTCATCTATCTATCGTCGATATACCATCTGTAGACTGTATCTATCTGTCATTATCTGTATTATTCTATCACCTCTCGTATTTCTAGGCATCTATCTATTATCCAAGTGTCGGCCATCTATTACCTATCAACCGTTTATCTATTTCTACCTGTCATCTTAATCTCCATGTGAATTCTATCATCTGTGTATCCGTACGTATCGATAATTTATAACTATTAATATCTATCAATATTTAGCTATACCTATTAATCTATTAATATCTATCTATATATCTAACAATACCTATCAGTATTTATCCAATTATCATCTATGTATCTATGTATTATCTACTTATCAATCACCTATTAGCCATCTTCTATTTATCTATATTTATCTTCTCTATTATCTATCTTATCTATGCATCCACCCATCTTTCCATCCATCCACCCATCCATCCATCCATCCATCATAAGCATTTATCTATCTATCTATCTATCTATCTATCTATCTATCTATCTATCTATCTATCTATCTATCATATCTATCCATCCATTCATTCATCCATCTATCCATCCATCCATTCATCCATTTATCTATCCATCCATCCATCATATCTATCTATCATCTATCTATCTATTTATCTATCAATCATATCTATCCACCCATCCATTCATCCATCTATCCATCCATCCATCATATCTATCATCTATCTATCTAACTATCTATCTATCAATTTACCTATAACTATTACCCATGTATCCATCCTTCTATCTATCCACTTATGTATGTTATGCTTCTATAGACTGTGGTGGTCCTATTTTGGAAGTCCACACTCATGAAGGAGGGTCGGCCCCACACAGAGGATGAGGCCTTGAGATGTTGCAGAAGGTGGGGGCACATCTCTCCCACAACAGTGTTGACAGTCGCCATTCGAGAGTCCAGGCTGCCAGGCTGCTGGAGGATGGTGATATTTATCAATAGGATCTTTATCAATAGGACCTATTAGATCCTGGATCTGTAGGGCCTACTGGGTGGATATGATCTATAGGACTCTGAGTGACTCACTGTACCTTCATCTTCCTGAGGTAAGTTCTCTCATCTTGAAACAGACCAGGTGGGATTCACCTGCACCCACTGTCCTGTCAGTTCCAAAGGGGGCAGGTTGCAGCGGCCAATCATAAAACAACCCCACGGCAAGAGTTAAGGTTTTTAAAGGATGAGGTGACTACGTCTCTGCTGGATCCATCTTCATTGACTGAATGCGTCCAAGGCCGTGTCCTGGAGTTGAGACCTCTTTGTGAGCATGCAGCTCTAGCTCAGGGTTGCAACCCTTTGGCTGTAAGGAAGAATATGCTAAATATTTAAGCTTCGAGGTCCACTCGGCATCCGTTGAGCTCCCTGGACTCTGAGGTTGTCATGAGAGTGGCCAGAGGCGATATGTAACCAAATGGGCACAGAAGTGTTCCAATAAAACTTTATTTACAAAAGCAAGGTGGGGGCCAGATCAGGCCTGAGGGCTGAGTTTTTGAGCCCTGCTCTGTGGCCCCCCCATGCACGTGGTTGACCTCAGGTGGACCAGTGAGGACACTGAGCATAAAGCTTCGTAAGTTGAGGCTGGCTGTCGATGCATATTCTGGTGGTTGTGCTGTGTGTTTGTGCACCTTGCACAGAAAGGGACTCATTTCCTTCACGGGGTCTGAGAGGTGTCCTAGACCCCAGAAATGTCAAATTCACCTGCCCAGGGACCAGCTGCACACAGGCCAACTGAGTCCCTGCAGCTGGCTTTTTGGGGTTGGTTCCAAGGAAGCCAGAGGGACCGGATGTGCCCTGGGGAGCCGGGAACAGATTCTGAGTAACTTAGCAGAATCTGCAGGTCCTGCAGGGAGAGCAGGACCCAAAATAGCAGCTCACACCCTGAGAAATCAGGTTGCACGTCATCCGAGCACCCGTTAAGATCTGGCATGGATGCCTATGTTCCTGGGATGTTCACGGCTGCCCTCCCAAGGCCCCCAGCTGGGGACAGAGAGGCCAGGCTGAGATGCCCTGGTCCCCAGCCCAGTTCCTTCCAATGTCATGAGTTCCCTTCTCGTGGGGGATTCCACCCCAAGACCCCCAAGCCCCAGCTGGGCACTTGCACCTGCTAAGGGGGCGGTCATGTCGGTCATATGGCTCCCCTGACCTGCGAACGGCACAGTCATTTTCTTAATCACGCCCTCCTGTCCCCAGCGTGCAAGCCCCCAGAAGCAGCCCCTGGGCCTGCCAGCCCCTAGAAGGTGCCCATGGACAGTGTGGGACACAGGGAGGTGGAGGAGGGAAGTGTGACTGAGGAGGAATCAGAGAGAATCTGTGCTCAGGTGGGGGCACATTTACTTGCTCTCGTGCCTGGGATGGAGTCACCGGGAGCACCTGGTCCTTCCGGGTGACAGTTTCTCTCAGCGGGAAACAAAGTGGGGTTGACAAAGCTCCTTCCGCGTCTTGTAAGGCACTCAAGTGTCTTGTATGGGACTCATGTTTCAATTCCTGGCACCCCAGACAAAAGGGTAGGGACCTTGTGTCCTCATGCGTCTCTGGGACAAGCACACACCCCACAGTGCCTTCCAAAAGCTGAAATTGTCTCTAGACATGTACTGTGTCTCAGATCCTAAGTGGACTCAGGGGACCCCATCTCCTCGGCCACTGAGAGGGGTCTTCACACCCAGGTGCAATACTCAAGTGAGGGCTGGAGAAGCATGTCTGTCCTCTCTGCACAAAGAATAACTCATTAAGAAGGCTTCCAGTAGCAAGTCCTGAAAGCTGGTGGCTGAATCCATGAGACAATAATTATTATTATTTTTTAACTTAATAAGAAATCTAGAGACAAGCCCTCCAGGGTGGGGCGGACAGCTTCATGATGTCATCGAGGACACCTCTCTTTTTATCCTTTTCCACCACCCTTCTTGGTAAATTAGCATCCTCCCCTGCTGTTGCCTCATGGCGCAAAGTGGCTGCCACAGCACCAGGCGTCATGTCTGCATCCAGGGCGGGAAAAGGAAAAGAGCTGTGCCAGCCCGCCCTCTTCTGAGGTCCGGCCTCGTGGTAGGAAAGCAGCCTCCTGGTCAGCATCCCTGCGGCCGACTTCCTCATTGTGGTCAGAACTGGGTTTTGTGGCAACCTCGGGTGGCCAGGGACGTCAGCCAGGAGCGACCGTGGGGGCAGAGAGGGGCTGCGTGCAGGAAGCTGTGGTCAGACCTGGGTTCTGTCAGAGCCCAGGGGCCGTGGCCGGGGTGCACGGGGACCTAGAGGGTCTGCAGAAGGACCGTCTGTCCGGCCAGATCTGGTTCCTGTGCAGGACGCCTTGGCTTCCCATGAGCATTGGCTTCAGCATGAAGCCCGGGAGTCGGCCTGTTTGTGCCCGGGTCACTGCACGCGGCAGCCTCCCTGGGAGCTGTCTGGGGGCACGATGAGGGCGAGCAGGAAACATCCTGAAGGCAACCTTGCCGTCACAGCTTTCCGGGCACTTCCTGCACATCCCCCTCCTCTGCCCGCGGCTGCCGTGCCGTCAGCCCAGCTGACCGCTCCCCGCTGGGGCTGATGCCACAGGGAGCTCGGGCTCGCGCCTGCCATGCTGCACCCTCTCGCCCGGCACGATGACCTGCCGCTTATGGCTGGGAATGGCATTTCGCAAAGGAAGGTGCACGGGTTTGAACTGGAAGAGGGGGAGCCTGAAAATTATGTCCAAGCGGGAAACTCTGGAGCCTGTGGGTACGGAGAGGTGCGATTAGTTACGGATCTGAGAAGAGCTCATCCTGGATCGGGGTGGCCCTAAATCCAAGGACAGGTGTCCCTATAAGACAGAGGAGGAGACACACACAGAGGAGAAGCCACGTGAGGACAGAGGCAGAGGCGGGAGGGACGTGGCCATGAGCCCAGGGACACCTGGAGCCCCAGAAGCTGGAAGAGGCAGGAAGGAGCCTCCCCTGGAGCCTCGGGAGGGAGCACGGCCCTGCCCCGCCTGGATCTCAGCGGCCCTGCCCCGCCTGGATCTCAGTGGTCCTGCCCCGCCTGGATCTCAGCAGCCCTGCCCCGCCTGGATCTCAGATTTCTGGTCCCCAGAGCAGGGGGAGCATGAATCCCTTGGGACGGAGCATGGCAGGGAGCAGGTGGGCAGACGTGCAAGGTGGCTCAGAGCGACCGTCACAGCCCAGGGAACCCAGAGCTGAGCAGCTGCCCAGGGGACACGGGGACAAGGGCTCTTCTCCCTCGTGTGCCTTTGTGAACCTGACCTCCAGACACACAACACGAAAACTCACCAGTCCAAGGTGCACAACTCAGGGACATTTGGTACGTTTCGTACATTCGCAGCGTTCTGCAACCACCACCTCCGTCTGCTTCCGAAACACGTACGTCCTCCCTCCTGGGAAGGAGACCCCGTCCCTGTGAGCGGTCAGTCCCCGTCCCCTCTGCAGTTGCCGGCGACCAGGAGCCTGCTGTCTGTCTGTGCATT